GCCTTTAAGACACCAAAGAGAAAAGAGCACAGGGTAGCCTCGCTGTGTGCGATTAGAGTGGAAATTCTGGCAGCAAGAATAAAGAATGGACCTTGAAACTATGAGAATCCTCAAGTCCCACATACAAGGGCAAGCCCGTCAGAACATCTGACTTATCCTGATTATGTATCTGGCACTGCGCCCCTTCACAGTTTAAGGAAAGGAAAAATTTCATGATGAAGACAAGCTAGAAGAATTCATAACACTGAGCCAGAGGTATAGGTGATATCTAACGAATCTTACTCACTGAAAGATAAGCATATCTTCAATGTCACCACACCATATCTAACTGATTTATTTATTTCTCTTTTTTGAAGATAGGATCTCATCATTTTATAGTCCTTGCTGGCCTGGAACTCACCGTATTGACCAGGCTGGCCTCAAACTGAGAGAGATCCACCTGCCTCTGTCTCCTGAGTGCTGGGATCAATAGTGTGCACCACCACCTAGAACTTGACCTCTTTTTATATGCAGTTGATGGGTTTTTACGTCAAAGAGTAAAAAGCAAGAAGCACAGAGCAAGCAGACTGGAAGTAGTCTGTCTATCCCATAGGAAGCTTGATATTTGAGAGGACAGAACAAGGTAGAAATACAATTTCACTACCTGCTATCCAACTTTATGCTATTTTTTCTTTATTGCCTAACCCAGCTGTCGGGCTTGTTAAGTACTTCAAACTCTCTTATTCATTTGAAACAGTTTCCCTGGTTAACATTTTTAAAGCTTGGTACAGTTAAGTTCCTTTTCTTCGCTTTTAATTTGAGCTCAGAGTAGCCAAGAACAGAGGACCGAGAGCTAGCAGCCCTTTGCCTTATATCTCACTTGTGAGCCACGGATTCATTTATTCTTCATTCCTAAATGAATTCCAGATGTCGTTAAGACTCACCAAGGAGGTAATGGAAAAGGAGAGACTGGGAGAGGGAACATGCCAAGAAAAAGTAAGTGACTGAAGGTTGTTAGTGTGGATTAGGAACAAACAAGAGAGGAAACAAGAGGGAAGGAAGGATGATGTCCTGGGCACAACCTTAGCTCTCCCGACTCTGATCTTTGATCTCTGATCTTTGCTGATCTTTGATTCAATAGAAGAGAAATGTTGGAATGTGAAGCGGTTTTTACTTTCTTCTGTCAGATTCTATAGATGAGACTTAGCTTTATGGTTAAGTTAATACATATCTTTGTGTGTGTGAGTGTGTATGACATTATATATAGTGTGTGAGTGTGTATGACATATATATATATATACATATACATATATATATACATATATATATATGTGTGTGTGTGTGTGTGTGTGTGCATCTGTGTGTTTGTACACAACCAATGCTCTGATCTCAACAAAAGTATGATAAGGAAGTAAAAGATACATGTGGTTGGTAAACAGAACTCCAGCCCCACAAAAGCCAGAGGCCAGGAGGGTCTGGTTAATCATGTAAAGCAAAATTCACAAAGCATCCTGGGGTTGGCCCCATATTAAATTAAAATAAAGATTAGAAAGCCCAGATTTCTACAGTGGACTTATATTCGTTTGGTCTATAATTTCTCCTTGATTGATGAGTCTATATCCCAGTAGATCACCACAAGCTGAGAACACCACAAGAAGGAACCATGGGTAACACAACATGATGAATAGCATAGCATATGTCCCAGAGCACCATAGTGCTTGCTAGCTGTTGGCACTGGCATCCTGTGGCTAACTGGAAGCTGTTGACCATAGTCACTCCCTAGCACCACAAAAATATTGTACCACATAGCAATAGCCCAGGAAATGATCAGTTAAAAATCGGAAATGCATTTACGAATAGTGTATAATGCATTCCTACCAATGTATTCTCAACAGAACTGTATCCCTAGTCATCATTTATAGGAGATTGCCTGGATTAACTTTCCAGAAAAAAGAAGGGAATGTTTCCTTTGGGAGGCATATCCACATGCTTGGCCAGGTGCACTGTCCTTTTCTTGAGAGCCACTCCTTGTGTTAACCCCACACTTGTATCTGTGCGGGGGGGGGGGGGGAGTCTTCCTGACACATTCCATCTCTGCATCAGAAGAAAACAAAGTGCAGGCAAATTTGGCAAGGAGTTTCATTGGAAGCAGTTCCCTTTATTTCCTAAAACAATAGTATGCTGTATTCCAAATGGGAGAGGCTGAGCCAGGAAACCCCTTCTACTGACAGTCATTCCCTTTAACCCTCAGTGACTACAGGGTTGAGCAACAGAAGGAACTATTGAGTCTGGCACCAGCCTTCAGTCATAATCTAATGTATTTTCATCATTCACATGTGTATACTTTTCTGTCCTATGAACCTTAGAAAAGAGGTAAAAAAAAAAAAAAAAAACAAAAAGCCAGATGGGGCAATGTTTTCTACCTTTGCCCGCCAATATCGGAGACAGTGCTGTGATCGCTCCAGATGGTTTATCCCATCATGTCACCTGATTACCAAGTGCTCTGGCATCATATATGTTGCTATGACAAATACACTAGTGACTACAAGTGACTTAGGATACAAAGGGTTCCTTTGGGCCCAGAATTCCAGGTTTAAGTTCAGCCCTGTGATGATGTCACAGCCACAGGAGCCATGAGACAACTGGGCATATCGAATCCACACTCAATAGCAGAGAATATGGGTACATACATGCTTGTGCCCAGTTAACTTTCTTTACTCATACACAGTCCAAGCCCACAGTAGTGTAGGCATAATGATTTTGCACACTGTGTAAAGGCTATCCTTGTGTTATTCAAATGCTGATTTCTCTGCCCTCATAACTTGTTTTAATCCAGGCATGGCATTGTAATGCTTAGGTCAATAAACTTCTGTTTCAAGTTTGCATAAATAATTCTTACGATTTATTCTCTGCCATGTCAATAAATGCTGATTACCCAATGGGTGGGCAGAAGAGAGACTAGGGTAAGACCTCTGCCAGCCAGGGGAGGGAGAGAGAGAGGGAGAGAGATTCAGATCTGCCAATGAGGATAAAAGGAGTTAGAGCCAAAATGAAGGGGTCCAAGAGAGATCATGGAAACACACCTGAAGCCCAAAAAGCCAGACCAGTAACAAGAAACATGTATATTGGGGTCATGGCTGGGAGGCAGCCAAATTATCATAGGGGAAAATTAACTGCCCAGCTATTGAGGTGCGGCTTGAAATAAATCTTGGTTTTTCTGTGTGGTTATTGGGAGGGGGGTTAGCATAAGGTAAAGAAATACAGCCGCTGGATTAATTCACTACTTAGATTTATATTACAAATAATTCATTTGTGCACACTAAGGAATGGTACACCAAGTTTATGGTAGTATCTTCCCACATTAGTTAAGGCAATGAATACAATATGACACAGCCATGTTTGAAAGGCAACCTGGCCTAGACATTCTCTTTGAGACAATCCCAGATGATTCTAGATTGCCCCGTGGAAATGATAGTTAAAGGCAACCATCACAGCATGTAAGCTAACATTCTTGTTTTGCAGATGAGGAAAAAAACCTGAAGGTCACACAGAGGTCATAGAACTTAACTAAGAACACACAGTTTTAATTCAAATCCAGGCTGGCTGGACTCTGTGCTGTGGAGACTGTGTGCATCTCCTCCGACTCTGTGTCTACCAAGGGCACTTGTTTCTGCTTGTAGCCCTCTACCTATTCTGTGTTGGCGTTCATTAAAGCAACTCTGGAGAGTTCTAAAGTCATTTAGAAACACAAACCAGCTCACAATACAATTTTTTTTTTAAATCCCAGTTCAAATTCACTGGCTTCTAAGCAACTCTTACTTAAATAAATTAAGAACATTTCTTAAGAAATTTCTGCCAGGAAAAACTGTGGTGTCTGCCAAGGGACTTCCTCGGTTACACAAGGGTACTGCATTCCTTATTTGTATCGCCATTTGGTTGGGTTACTAGGAAGCAGTATGGCCCAAATAGGATAGATAGATGATAGATAGATGATAGATAGATAGATAGATAAGTAGATAATAGATAGATAGATAGATAGATAGATAGATAGATAGATAGATAGATAGGTCTTGATGGTATTTTTGACTTTCTATTTATAGTTTAATTTTATTACAATTGTTGCAAAGGGTAGTGTTTTAGAAATCATTTCAAATCTCACATGGGAAAATTCACAGTGCATAGATTAGGCAGAGGCTAAAATATGTATAAACATTTCATGTATGTATGAATCTAAAACCATGAAAACTCAAATATTTAGTTAGTTTTGGATTCATGTTTCTTATGTATGCCAAACCAAAATGCAATATAAAACTACAGTGCTTTTCTGTATGTGATATTTCCCATGACTGTAAAAGACATGTTACATTGCATATGTACTATGTGTTTCCATCAAGAGTTTGGTCTTTTTTCCTTAGTGTCTGTTCTAGTTTCATTCCTGTAGCTATAATAAAATACACTTTTGAAAAGAAACTTAGAGTAAAAACAGTGTGTCTAGTTTAGAATCCCAAGTCATAGTCCACCATTTTAAAGGAAGTCAAGGCAGTAAGTCAAGGCAACCAGTCATAGGACATCTACGGTCAAGAGCAAAGACAGGATATAGGCACCCTTACTTGCTTGTGCCCTGCCTTGTGTTCCATCAGCTTTCTCCACTCTGATACTGTTTAGGACTCTCTGCCTAGGGAATGGTGCTGCCCACAATAGGCTGTTTTTTCTTATGTCAATCACCAATCAAGACAGTACCTCACAAATATTACCACAGGCCAACCTGATCAAGGTAATTCCCCAGTTAGAGTCTCTTTCTAGGTGGTTCTAGATTGTGTTGACTGTGAAAATAGCACAGTATCAGATAATCACCTAGGCATATAGTATAGAATAAAACAAAATTTGGAATGTTTCCCAGGGTGATGTATTAGTCATGAGGCATGACTCCTTATGTGAAGATTAAAAAGAAGAAATCAAACTCATGGCTTTGGGAACAGAATCTGTTTCCTATGAAATAGCACAAGGGTTTCTGGACATACTTTCACAGAAACAACTTTAGTCCAGCTGCCTTGGTAATACTTTAAGGGTTCCTGGAACTGACTAGCAAGTACTAACTTCAAATTGCTGTTGTCAGATATCTTAGTTACTTTTCTATCCATGTGAAGAGAGACCATGACCACTACAACTCTGATAAAAGAAAGCACTGAATTGGAGGCTTGCTTACAGCTTCAGAGGGTTAGTCCATGAACATCATGGTGAACATGGCAGCAGGCAGGCATGGTGCAGGGGCAGCAGCTGTAGACTTATGTCCTGATCCAAAGGCAGCAGGTAGAAAAAGACACTGGGCCAGACAGGAGCTTTTGAATCCTTCAGTGACACATCTCCTGCATTAAGGCCGCACCTCCTAATCCTTCTTAAACAGTTCCACTTCTGGGTATCTAAAGCATTCAGTTATATGCATGAGCCTATAGGGGTCATTCTCACTCAAAGCATCACATCGGTGAAGCCAATTTAAAAATTATTGTTTTATATTTCACTTATCATGTAAATGCACATTGGCTGGTGGTACATGTGCCATGGCGCATGTATGAGGTCAGAGAAAAGCCTGCTAGAGTCAGTTCTCTCCTGCCATTATGTGATCTGGGGATTGAACTCACATCTCCAGACTTGGCAGCAAGCACCTTTTACCCACACGTCTATCCCACCAGCCCAAAGAAAGCCAATTATAAAAACCCTTAACATTCTTCTACTAAATATTTATTCTTTACCAGCTAGTGTTTCACCTACCACCTTTAGGCCCAAAGTCAGGGTTCTGAGAAATGAAGGGATATTTCGCTTGAATGAATGAAAATGTGGCCATGGTCATGAATGAAAATATGATTCAAGTTGGTACAAAGGGCTTATTTGAAAGGGTTACAAAAGTGAGAATTCTGTCATGAATGCATGCTTCATCTTTTTTAGTGTGAAAAAATCTTTTGCCACCTTTCCCCATGTGCCTTTGATGGAATTAGTTTGAATCTTTTTCATATCGTTTTAACAATATGAGTCAGGACAGCTGGACTTACTGCTATAAGACTTTATTTTTTTTTTCAAATTTCCTGTTAGTGGAAGATATAAAAGTGCTTTAAAAATTAATGCAGTAATAATACCTGCTCTGTTTGAGGAAAGAATGGACATTTATGGATGTCCACACTTCCCATGTTTCCAAGAAGATGTCTCATGTAGTTAAAAGTACAATCTTGCTCTCACCAACCCTTTAAATTCAGTTCCCAAAACCCACATCAGGTTTTGGGAAAAAAAACCACTCACAATCTCCTGCAACTCCAGCTCTAGAGGATTCAGTGCCCCCCTCTTCTGGCCTTACCTGGAGGGTAACTATAGTTACCTCCACATACCTGGTATGTGTATACCATATACCTCATAGGCATACACATATCCCTCTCCCATTTCTTGATAAAAGAATTGCTTCCTTTGGTCAAGATCCTCCTGAGGACCCAGTCACAAGGCATCTGTACAATGTCTGTAAAGTCCTTCATGCTGCACCTCTAAGCCACAGTAACCAACAGCCTCAAGTTCATCCCAGTTCTCCTGTTTTAAGTTAACACCTACAGTCACTGAAGAAGCTGCTCTTTGTCATTACAAACGGTGAGAGAGACAGGCACAGACTGTGACAATTCATTCTCTCTCCCTTTCTACTTACAATTTAGGGTGCCATCAGAGAGAAATAATTAATTGACCTGTCTGGAGAACAAATAAATCACCGACTCAATATGGTGCTTGGAGCCCGTAGCTCCTTTCTGCAGCGTCGCCAGGTAATAGCTCTAACGTATGGGGTTGGCGAGCTCTTCTGACACGTCTCCCAGGCTCCCTGACCCCTCTCGATGCTGTGGCAGTGAAATATGACAAGGACCGCAGTGCAGTTACGTTAGGACAGGCTGCACATCAGTAACCATCACAACAGAGCTCGTAAGTACAAGGAAACTAATGTGGTACGTGATGTAATGACAAGGGACATCCTTTGAATGTCATCTTCAGAGCATGGAGATGCCTCGGGCAGCTAGCTGATAACAGGACTTGCCACTCAGGCATGAGGACCTGAGTTCGAATTCTCCAAACCCGCATAAAGTGAGACGTAGTAAGAGCTGTAAAGACAATGTTCCTGTGATGAGATGGGAGACCGAGACAAAAGAACCACAGATGCTCACAGGCTAGCTCGCTTGGCATACGCGGTGGAAAACCTAATAGAGACCCCGTCTCAAACAGGACAGAAGGCAAGAATTAACCATGCGTACTTGTCCTCTGACCTCTTCATGCGCACTACAATGTGTGTGTGTGTGTGTGTGTATGTATGTGCGTGTGTATGTGTGTGTGTGCGTATGTGTGTGTAGCTACCTTATTAATTACTTAATCATTTTAAAGCAATTCATTTTTGGTTTCAATCAGCCTGAAAAAATTATAACCAAGGTAACATGGTATGTTTCAACACACACACACACACACACACACACACAGAGAGAGAGAGAGAGAGAGAGAGACAGAGAGAGAGAGAGAGAGAGAGAGAGAGAGAGAGAGAGAGAGAGCCAGCTTCCAGTTAATGTCACTATTATACTTCTGCATTGTATCTGTAGAATATCCATGCCTACTGTGGAGGCTAGAATGAGACGCCCGTCATACTCTCAGACATTTGAATGCTCTATCCCCAGCTGATGGTGCTGATGATGTTTGCAGAGACATAAGGGGTCTTTGGCCTTTTCAGAGGAAGTATGTCACAGAGGCAGACATTGAGGCAAGCCAGACTTGTGCCAGGCCAGGAGGTAGTGGTGCACACCTTTATTCCCAGCACTTGAGAGAAGCAGTGGGATCTCTGAATTCAAGGCCAGCATAGTCTACAGAGTAAGTTTCCAGGACAGCAAGGGTTATACAGAGAAACCTTGTTTCAAAATGGCAGCGGGTGAGGGGGAAGACAGGCCATTTCTAGTTCACCAACATGTGAGCCCTCAGCTTCCTGCTCCTACCATTATGCCTGTACTCTACCACCATGGACACTAACTTTCTGGAACTGTCTGACCAAACAAACTTTTTCTTCTACAAGTTCCCCATTCATGGTGTTTGATCATAGTGATAGAAGTATAACTAAGACATCTACCACCCACGTGACCTAGGAACATTTGGTATTCTATATTTGGGAATAGAATTCCAATCAGAGGGCTGGAGAGATGGCTCAGTGGTTAAGAGCACTGACTGTTCTTCCAGAGGTCCTGAGTTCAATTCCCAGCACCCACATGGTGGCTTACAACCATCTGTAATGGGATCTGATGCCCTCTTGTGGTGTGTCTGAAGAGGGTGACAGTGTACTCATATACATAAAATAAATCTTTAAAAAAAAAAAGAATTCCAATCAGAAAGAAATTCAAGGTATTCACCGTATTAGCTGCATTTGTTAAGAAATTCTTTACTGTATCTGCCAAGATAACTCTGTACTTGAAGCTTCAGTTAAGGTTTAAAGAGAACACAGGGTAAGCACTACCAGTATTTTACTAGATGCATACTATGAAACTGCATTGAAGGTTTTATTTCAGCATCACAGTTTAGTTCAGTCCTCAGACCTCATCAGAGAAGTCTCTTGGTGCATGAGATGGTGGTTAACAACGAAATCCACAACTGGTTAAAGTCCAGAGAATAAATGAGATGGAGTTCTCAGGCACAAATGGAACATCCATGACACATTCATCCCCCCAGGCTCAGAGTCCATCCAGAATGAGGTGACACCCAGAGAACTGTGAGGTCAATCACTGATGGACCTAAACCTCTCACTAGATACACACCTGCTTCTTAAGTCTCACACATTCTTTATGACTACAGCATCCCCAGCAAGTTCTGGGGAAGGGCATCTAATGCAAACTAGATGACCAAGCTTCACTTCTGAGACTGTTCCTATGAGTGGAAACTTTCAAGAACAATATTCAGAGGGTAAGAAAAGTTAATCAAGAGTACTTCATGCCCAGAGACACAACAAACTTATTGGTGATGCCAATTCATTTCCCCTTAGTCGTTATCAAAGGGTTTTAGCAGTTGACGTGTAATGAAAAGCTTCCAGTGAATTCATTTGACAATCCAGCAAATGAGGTTTCAGCATGTATTTATAAATCACACACAAATTGTCAAGCTGAACACAAATGTAAGGTGACACTTGTAAAAACCACTATCTTAACTCGCGCGCGCGCGCGCGCACACACACACACACACACACACACACACACACACACACACACATTTTCTGAATGAAGAGGATGTATTTTATGGCTTCAATTCAAAAGTGCTTCAAGACCCCTGCAGGAAGTTAGCTAAAACATCTGTGTTCCTTCCTCTCACAATAGAACATCCTTGACAGGCAACTTCTAGGTAAATAATCTTGAAAGTTGTGTGCTAAATTAGCCCATTATTTTCAGTCAGTTTCACTCACAGGGATAAAAATGCCTTCAGTACTTAGCATGGCAGCGTCTGTTAAATGGTTTGCCAACAAATACATTGTTAACTTGATTTTTCTTTCTGCAATTTGTGCTGTGCTTTCTTTCTTCAAATACTTCCATTTAATCAACAGTCCCCCCATCAAGAGCTTTAAACTAGTATGCCAAGCCTTGTGGCTCATGCCTGCAACTCCAGCACTCAGGAGGGGGGAGGCAGGAGGATTGTAAGCTTAAGTTCATCCACCAATACATAGTGAGTTTGAATACAGTTTGGCGACACCTCATGCACTGTTTTGTTGCTATTATTTGTTTTGCTCAAAAGTAAAACAACAAAAACTATCTTATCAACCAAATGTACCGAAAGCTTTTAGCTTGTCACACACTACCAGTGTGTTACCAGACATAACATTTGTTATGTCTGCACGGTGATGTGGAGTATACTGCAGAGAAGCAGGGAACTGAGTGAGGAGGGCAATGAACAATCCAGGCTCATTTTCAGTATATTTAAGGGTCTGTAGAGATAGCTCAGCTGCTAGGGCCACATTGTTAGAGGACCCAAGTTCCATTCTCAGGACCACAACAAGTGACTCACAACCA